CCCCATTCCCACTGCTATAGCAAGGAAAATAAATCTCGGAGGAGGGTCAGGTGGCCTTCTTGCCCTCTGTCCCTGCCCCCACCCCCAACTTCTTAGCTCTGCACCGACTTCCCCCGCACCCTTACTGTGAAAACCTGCTCTCCCTGAACACACGAGAGTGAGAGGCAAATCTGAAAACACTGACTCGGAAATAAACATGCCTGTAGTAAGTTGCAATTAGTTGTAAACTGCTGCAAATTTCAGCACAGGTACTCCATAAAGATACTTTTAAGCAGCACTTTTGTACCTACTTATATCTAATACAAACTATGTATGATACTAATCGAAAACCAAAAGGCTCAGGATTTACCATATAGTTCAGTGTTTCTCAACCCATGGTTCGCAACCCAAAAGTAGATTGCAAAAATATATGAAGGGGTCATGAACAAACTTTAAAAATGGAGTCTCCTCTAAAGGAGAAAATGTGGGAAACTGTGGGTTTTCCCATGCAGCCTGGCAGAGTTCAAGCCTGCAAGGGGCTGCTTGGGACCCTCCATGCCCCACACCCTCCCCCTGCCCCACACAATGGGGGACTGGGGGCGTGGGGGGTGAGGAGACAGCAGAGTGACAGGCACTGACAAGGCTGGGAGGCTGTTTTCTGCTTAAGCCACTTATTGGGTCAGGACTGGCTATCAATGTTACAAATGGGTCCTGATAAAGAAAAGTTTGAGAACCACTGATATGGTTCATTGGGTTGGGACCCAGAAGACTCAACAACATTTCAAGCCATAGTACCCCAACAGCTCAGCACTGCTTGGTATGTGTGTATACTCCAGATTACCTCCCCCCTCCCAAAGCATCCATGTGCTAATTAACCCCCCACTCATGACTGGAACTGGGTGTTCTTGTCATGAGTTCAAATGTTTATATGCAGATTAGTAGGCCCAAGGCAGCCTGATCTGGCTTTACCTCATGGAGTGTGGGACCACACTAATCATGTGCAACAGGCAAAGGAACGGGGTGGCAGAGGGATTCTAGGTGAACTATATGGGATCATGTTTGGTTATGTTTGCCAGACATTTAAGGCTTGTGAAGAAATAGGAAATATTGGAAATGGTAAAGAACAGTGCAGCTCAGCTATGGGAGTGAAGATGAGTTGAAAAGCATTCAATGCAGTGGCTCACCATGACTGGAAAAAGAGGTCAGCACTAGGGGTGATTGAGCCCAATGGGCACTATCATATACCTTATTCAGATAGGCTGCACTGACCTATGTTTGTGGTAGGTTCTCATCAGGATGTTTGCCTATTATGGGCCATGTGTTATAGTCATGTTGAGTCATGCATTTAATCAGCTTCACAGTTGGTTTTCATTCCTGAGTGCAAGTTGCTGTTGGTAGTAGTTTAATGATAGACAGTGTATTTAATGAGCTTTCCTTGTATGGAAATGTAAGGTGAGGGGCTTTCCCCTCCCCACTGCTCCATGCGGACTGGGAGAAAAACCTCATATTATATTTGAGTAAATACTGTATGTCCAATCCAGTCTGTTGCAAGACTGGAGCCTTAAATATCTACCTACCTAGAACATTATAACTTCAGTATTTTGGCAACATAAGAAATTCTGGGCACTAATGAAGTAACAGGCCAGAAACCACCCTTGCCTCCCTTCACTTGACCTCACAATTATTCATGCCTATTTTTTTTTTTTTTAATGCTTGAAAAGTTGGATGTCAGTTTCTGAAATTCCAGTTTCTGAACATCAATTTCTTGACATTTCTAAGACATCTCATGTCACGTTAGGAGATGTTAGGGGCAGGGACAGCTTTATGTTAGAATTGAAGTTTGGTAGGGAGAATGAGAGAGATGCTTAAGCAATTGAAGGGGGATAATGTAGATCACACCAGGTTGGATGCAAGAGAGGGATATGAGAGTCCTGGGTTCAGTTCCTTCCCTGCCTAGAGGATTAGAGCCCCTGTCCTAACTGCCTGGCTTTCTGGGATGGCTCAAGGTGGCTTTCATTGTTTCCCGCAGAGACTATTTCATTTCATAACTGAACATTTACTAGAGGAGACGCTGGAACCCAGGAGTCCCATTTGAATGTCTTGCTTATCAAGCAAACGAATGACTCTGTTTTACAAACTAGGACACCAGAAACAAGAGGGATTGAGGGAGGCTCACTTCAGAATGCTATATAGTGTCATCAATGGGGAATTCTCCAGAAAGGTGTTTGATCCAGTTTCACATCTCTGCCTTTAAAGCATGTAGCATATTTAAACCTGTATCCTGTCTCAGGTGAGTGTCTAAACCACCAAGCTATAAGGAGATCTGAGATGGGTCTCCCTCACTTTCCCTGTTGATACTGTTTCACTTTGTATAAAGTATTTAACACAGTCTAGTGAGACAGCAGTGGAGAGAGGCTTTGTAATCCGATGGTTATAAAGTACTTCACGCAGTCCAGTAAAACAGCAATGGAGAGAGACTCTTTAATTTGGTGGTATCCTTCCCACATTGTGGGAGACTGCCTCCAGTTACTGTGTAAACAGGGACAGCTTTGGTACCAAATAGTTATTCCACTACACCAGGTCTGTGGGGAGCTCCACAGACTGTGGCCCTGTGTGCTAGATCAGGAATGCGGGGTGCTGTGGGACCTGATTTCAGCCCATGGAGGTGGCCTGAGGCCCCAGTCTTAGTGCACAGGGCCATGTTGATGTGGTGCATGGCCTCAGTGCTAGATGGAGGCAGCTGTGGCTGCCCAGAGCCTGATCTGGATATGTGGGGGTCTAATCTGGTCTGCAGACTGGCCCTCCCTGTTCCACTCATCTGGCCTCATTGAACAGCATTGCACTACACACTATAAAAGGTTTTGTTTTGAGTTGACCAAAGCAAAAGTTGGGGAAAATGTGGGAAAAATTGAAAAAAAACAAACTAAATTCAGTTTGATCCAAACCAATAGACCATATTTACTTAAATTTAAGATGAGGTCCTCCCTTTTTCACATGGGGGAGTGGGGGAAGCCCCTCATCTTGGATTCAAGTATGACGTGGGGGCGGGGTAGAAGCTGCTGTGGCTCAGGCTTTGGTTCTGGCCCCAGCCCCAACCTGGAGCCAGGGCCAGAGTTGCCACACCACTGCTTTTTTTTTACCAGGCCAGGCTTGGGCCAGAACAAGTATGTGCTCCACACACCAGGCTGGAACAGGGCCAGAACCTGTTAAAGCTGCAACAAGTGCAAGTGGAAGGGAAATAGGGCAGGTGGTGGCTGGAGGAGCAGAAATAGTGAGACGAGGCTTCAGGGGAAGCACCTGGGGGGGGAGCAGGTGGCAGGTGACAAAGTGTGGGAGGACAAAAGCAGGGGTCAAACTGCTTGCCCCCACCACTGCTTATCCCATTGTTTCCCCACAGCCTGCCTCTTCAACTGCCTGCTCCCTACCACCTGCC